TTCTAAGCTAAGAATGTAGTTAAAAAACTATCGAAACTAGTACTGCAAAAAGAATTCTAAAATTTTACACTGATTCTTAATGTTAGACTTTATTTTTGGAACGTTTTGGGTGCTTACTTTATTTATTGAATATCACATTTTTGGCGGTTATGTCATATAAAATTTGATTCAACAACAAAATCAGAAAATATTTAAAAATGACTTATGTTTAAAATTTATGATAGACAGTCTCGTGCACTGGAGATAATTTTTTTTCCATACACTGTTTCCATGGCTTGCTCTGAAATTGTCAAGTTTGTTAATAAAAAAATCCACTGAGGTCCAAACTTCAGGCTTCCAGGTGCCCATGTTCGAGTAGAGGATTACGTTATTCAAAATTTGATGGCTCTAGATATGGTTGTTTTTTCACAAAGAAAGAATTGTGCATATATTCATGCAGATTCTTCATGATTTTATTTCTTTAAATGTAATGCAGGGCAATAATATTTGTTAACAATAATTTGAAAAGTGATACGCCGCTTATAGTAATTCATCGCAAAATGCCATTTCAAGTCTAATATCTCATTCAGGACTAATACCTGTTTTGGGCTTTAAAAAAAAGTTGTAGTTAAACTACTATTAAACAGCCGGATAAATACTATAATTCAGAGAAATGGCACTTGTATCTGCAATCTACATAGCTCCTTCAAAATTGTTTATTGCATTATATATGCATTACTTCTATTTGTATTCAATGCTCTAAAGAAAGAGACACATTTTGGTGTATTTTCAATCCCCAACAGATTTTTTTAAATTTAATGTGTACAAGTTCAAAATTAGTAAATATTCTTTCAGTTTAAGCTGATGAAGCTCTTGCTATACTTAACATGTGAATATCCAGTTCTTTTTAACCTATGCATTCTTTCAGAGCTGTTGATTTTCACAATTGAAGTGTAGTAATTGACTAAACTGTTTTACTTTCAGAGAGAATTTTCCAGAAAGGTTGAGCATGAATTATAAATTTTAGTGTAATACTGAATAAAGTGTTGTCTGTATATTTTGCTTCTACTAATTCTGGTGCTTATTTTTTTTTTTTTCACTTCTTTAGTGGATTCAGCTTTATGTTTTAGTGATAAAATATATGCTAGAAAAGTGTGCTGATGTTATTGCTTGTTCATATTGTGTTTTGAGCCATTCTATCCATACTTTATCAAGATTTTTTTTAAGCTGTTTTCAAGATGTTTCTTAACAGCTTCAGCAATGCAGTAAATGCTGTAAATATCCTTTTGAGTGTTATCCAAATCAACTAACAGGCTTCAAACAAGTGAGAGATTTCTACATTTTGTGTGACTGCCATATTAAGAACTTTTGATTGAATATTCTTGTCTGCTGCATCTCAATTCTCTTCTACCAATCTTCCACAGTAATGAGTTTCTGTGTATTTCAGATTCTATATTTAAACCACTTCCAATCTGTTCTTTAAATTTGTCTGAGGAAGACTGGTGATTTTGAAAATATTTTATGATTTGCTCAGTAACATTTGAGAACATGCTCAGTGTCATTTGATAAATTTTAATCTTTAGCTAATTAATTAAGTACATATATTGAATAACTATAAAGCTGAAAATTAATTTTCAGTCTTTTCACATTTCGCTAAATTATTGGTTTGACACTCATGTCAAAGGAAAAAAAAAAAAAAAAAAAACATGGATAATTATTAACAATATTTATTAATTCAAAGTAGCATCATAGTTAGATATATAGCCTGACAAAAGTAATAATAATGAGTCTTCAGTGTGGGAATCAGTTAGGATAGAACATTGTTTAGTCTTCGTTAGTTTCAAGTTTGGAAATACCGATTCGCATGGGTATGTAGATCCAAAACAAGAATAGATCGCTACATTTGGTGATACTGGGATATTTTTCTCTGTTGACATAGTTTCAAAAATCTTCTTCAAATTTTTGGGCTTGTAAGTTTAAGTCAGTTTGTAAAAATTATAATATTGTTTTCTAATGCCTTTTGATCCATATAAAACATGTCTAAAATGTTTTGGATACTGCATTCCACACTTAAGTCTTTTTTAAAAGGAAAAATACAAATTCCACAATTGCTTTTATTTCTTCAAAATCTTCAATTACTTTTTGGATTTCTGCGACATATTTGTTGATCTTATAATTAATATTTTTATGTTTTTGTAGGTTATTTGCCATATTTGGAAAATGATTCAGATTACTTTGTGGCAGATCTTCTATTAGCAAAATAAATTTTGTTTTACATGCATCTATGCAGCTGATTACTGTTTTATTTTATTCTGAATTTAAATGACCTAATATTGAAGTAAAATCAGTAAGAAATGCGAAGTCACTAAGCTAAGTTTTATCATTTAAATTTTCACAGTTTCCGTCTTGTTTGTGAAGAAAATTTATAATTTCAGGCAATAAATCATGAAATCGTTGCAAAAATTTACCTCTGCTTAGCCATCTGACATCGTTATGTAGTAAATAATTCAGGGCCTTCATCGAGCTGCAGTTGGAAGAGACGCTGTTTGAAGGAATTTCCTCGAATTGAATTAACAATTTTAAATGCTATGTCCATTACCTCTTTTGTGTTTAGTCTCTTGCTAGCTAACACTTGCTGGTTAATTATGCAGTGATAGCCCAAAAAGGCATGAAATTCATCTTCCTTTTGACATAGGATTATAAATCCATTTATGCTACCTATCATTGAAGTTGCACCATCTGTTGTTATTGAGACTAATTTAAAAAGTGGTACTTTCAAATCATTGAGGAAGTTTTTAAAGGCTTTGAATATGTCTACACCTCTAGTCCTTTCCTTGAAAGAAATCATACCCAGCAATTCTTCTTTAGATGTAAAATCCTTAAAAACCGTATGAACGAAAACAAGTAATTGTGCCATATCACTTATATCTGTCGATTCATCACACTGACAGGAAAAACAAGAGCATCTATTAATAACATTATATAATTGCTCTTATACATTTCCACTCATCCTTTCACTTTGTCGCAAGACTGCGTTTCGAGACAATTGTAGACCTTGAATTGCAGTAACAATTTCACTCTTGTTCTTAAAATTGTTAAAAAGTGAACCTGACATTTCTAAAAAAAATTTTGTTTACAAATTCACCGTCAGAAAATGGCTTACATATTTTTGCTAAGAGATGGCTTACTTTGAATGATGCAGCAGTTACTGCTTCTGACTTCAACCTTGGCTTTTTAAAAATGCTTTGTTGATTTGTTAATTAAGTTTTAAGATCCCTAACTTTATGTTTTCTCAGTTCAGAATTTGGTAGATAATCTGTTTGATACTTGTTATGTAAAGCTAAAAAATGTCTCTCCATAATACCCTTTTTAGCAATGGCTACTGAGGTAAAGGCATATTAAACAACAAAGTAATCAAGTTCCCATTCTTCACTGAAGTCATAAGTTTTCAATTTCTTCGGTTTACTACTCGTGTTCATGGGTATACTAGAATGCAAAGAAATATGAGAATTTAAAGAATAAATATTGAATTAAATATTTTTCTAGAAAATTAAAAAGTCATGAACTGCGGCTATTATCTCCGTTACATTGAGAGAAATGATAACAATACTGCATACTACGATTGTAGCAATACAAGTGTATTAAAATCAAATAAAGGTATATTCAAATTTACAAGAAGTATGTTAAAGTTACAATATATTTATTACGGTTTAAATACTGAAATCTTAATTTAAATATATTTATTGTTATTCCTAATATATTTGTAATACTGTTCCTTATTTTTCTCTCAGTGTAATATTCACTGCAGTTTAAAGATCTCTTGCTGAGAATGCTCACTTATCAAGTAAATAGATATGTAAGAAAAGCAATTTGATTTAAAACAAAGAAAGGGTACTTACATTTTAAACAGAAGAAAATTGAAACCCAAAGTGGTCACTGAGGATAAATAATATTGATTAATAGTAATACTGTTAATACAAAAGAAAAGAAGCTACCGTATGACACTACCAAATATTCAAGCTAACTGACTGCGTTCTTTGATGTGTCGAGCCCTAAAGCTGCATTCCCACTGAGGTTTATCTGAGCTAACGAACACAATTGACATAGCCGACCCATCTCCAAAACCAGTTTTTTTCCCATAGGGTGGCAAGTTGAAAAATCTGAACTGCAGGCACAGTGGAGCTAGTCAACACATAGAACTGACTCCGTTAGCTCAGATAAACCCCAGTGAGAACGGGCCTTAACAGTTGCGTTCATGCATTGCCTCTGCTGACAAGTGTAAAACAGAAGTAAAATGGTGGATGGGAGGAGATTATAATGTCAGGCTATCAGAATTCTAGGAATTTATGACCTTGGCAAATTCCCAGAATGCATTAAACTATTGCTAAAAGGTTCTGTCTTCTACAATCGCTTCAAAGTGCACAGAATTCCACTCCAGTTATTGCAAGCGATCGACCTAAATTAGCCTGGTCGATCGTGATCAACTTGTGGCCACCCCTGCTCTAGAGGATTGTGAGCATTGTGACACAATGCTCTAGTGGCGCAGTGGTCGCGCCCTGAAACCACAAAGCAAATGCCATAAATATAAATAGGTTTTTTTATATATATGCCGTTTAATTATTGCAATTTTTTATTGTTCACAATAGAAATCATGATGTGCGATGAATAACTTTTGAAGTTGTTTATATTAATAAAAGGAAGTTATTTTGTCTCATTAAAAGGCAGCCGATTTGAAGTGCTAAGACTTAAAACATGTATGATTCTGCTGTTATTTTGTGTTAGTTAGAGGTAAAAGATCAGTAATCAACTGATTTTCACTCTAAAATTTCGGAAAGAAGAGAAAAAAATTCTAAAATTGGTGGTTTCAGGGCGCGACCACCACACGTCAAAGGGTTAACTAGAAAGCAATTTTTTTTGGAGGGGGAAATTTGAATGTTAAATTATTTCCGATGTATTGCTATATTTTGTAATATGCATTTAGTTATTATGTGATTATTATTTTTTTCATATTTTTCTTGCAGGAATCAGAACGAGAATTCTTTAAACGTATTGTGTCATATATAAAACTTGTTAAATCATTTGAAAACTCAGATTTATGGAATGAAGCTCAAGAATTAATTCCGATTGAAGAGTTAAATATTAAAGCTGCAATAAATTCATCTGTATTAGAAAGTAAAGGAATTGATGTTGACTTAGCTGATCTTTTACTTAAAGAATTACTTCATTGGTTCAAATCTGAATTTTTTACCTGGGTAGATAAACCAAAATGCGAGAATTGTGGTAAATTACCAGAAGATAGAGGCTATGTACCACCTGATGATTCTGAAGAAATATGGGGTGCTGATAGAGTAGAACAGTATTTTTGTTCATCTTGCAATATATTTGTTCGATTTCCTAGGTATAAACATCCTAAGAAGTTAATGGAGACCCGCCGTGGTCGATGTGGTGAATGGGCTATATGTTTCACATTCATATGTCGGGTAATGGGATATGATGCTCGATTTGTATGTGATTGGAATGATCATGTGTGGACAGAAATTTTCTCTGCTACTCAGAATCGGTGGCTACATTGTGATTCTTGTGAAAACATTTGTGATCAACCCCTTATTTATGAAAAGGGTTGGAAGAAACAAAATAATTATATAATTGCTTTTTCAAGGGATGAAATTCAAGATGTTACATGGCGATACACTTGTGATTTTAATGAAGTTTTAAAACGACGTACTTTATGCAGAGAAGTATGGCTGTGTAATATTATTGTGTTACTAAATGATAAACTACAGAAGAATGCTCCAGCAGAATACAAGAAAATGCTATATCACAGGAGAGCACTGGAGTTAGCAGAATTTTTAACTCCACCAAAATATGATGGAGAACATTACAGTGGTAGAAATTCTGGTTCGTTGGAATGGAGGTTAACAAGAAAAGAGACTGAAGTTCCTGAAGAAAATGCATATGAGTTTAAACTATGCTGTCAAGAAATTGACCATCAACATTTTCACATTAAATATGACTGTGCCTCTGATAAATATGTTCGAATTTCAGATAATTTAGCTGAGACTGGAAATTGGGCAACGTATGTTTTTAGTTATAATAATGTTTTTCGTAAAGTAGAACATGATTGGAATACGGCATATTTGTGTCGCACTGAAGGTTCATCAAAAGGCTTAATAACATGGAAATTTAACTTCAAAGACAGTGGTCTCATTATTAGGACGTTAAGAGCAACTCTTAACAGTACAACATTTGAAAATGGAAAAGTTAAATGGTTTATAAGTACAGATTCTGAGTTGAAGTTTTCAAAAATTTATGAAGCAAAAGGTGAGTTTCTTAAGATAAGCATGCTTTTTATTATTACACTGCTGGCTACCGTAAATGCAACACCCTGAAGGAAGCATGCAACTAACATGAAATTTACTACATGCATTAGCGGAGGTGAGATATGCAAATGATTAGGATTTCAGTGCAGACGCACTTCAAAGCGTTATTTAAGGCTTGGAGTTTTTGATGATTTCAAGTTTGGCAATTGTGTTTTTCTTGTTAAAAAAAAAAAAAAGAAAGAAAGAAAGAAAACGATTAATTATGCTTTGTAGTAAACAGCTATCATTGTTTGATCAAGTATCCGAGTTCGACAGAGGAAGGATAGTGGCCTACCAAGAGTGTGGATTATCTTTCTGGGAAATCGGTAGTCGTGTTGGACGAAGCCAAACAACTGTAATGCGGATATGTGACCGTTGGATGCAGGTAGGTACGATGGACTGATGTGTTCGATCGCATTCACCTCAATGCACCACTTCACGTGATGACAGGAACATTGTGCGCATAACAGTGACAGATCGCTCAGTCACATCACGAACCATAGCACAGCATATTCAGTCTGTAATGCATCATCCAGTGTCTGCACGTACCATTCGATGCCGTTTACAGCAGAGTGGTCTGTCTGCAAGACGTCCATTGCTTCGTCTACCCTTGACACAGAACCACAGATGTCTCCGCCAATGGTGCAATGAAAGAAGGATGTGGATGGCAGAATGGAATGTAATTGTCTTTACTGACGAGTCACGCTTCTGTCTGCAACACCACGATGGTTGGATTCGAGTCTGGAGACACCATGGAGAGAGGATAATTTAGCTGAGACTGGAAATTGGGCAACGTAATACATGGAGAGAGGATGCTGAACGCCGCCAGACTGGTCCTGCACCAAGTATTATGGTATGGGGCAGTATTTGATATCACTCTCGCACTCCCCAGTACGCATTGCCGGTACTTTAAACAGCCAGCGCTACATATCCGAGGCGTTGGAGCCAGATGTCCTTCCTTACCTTTAGGGCTTGCCCACAGCCATATTTCTACAGGATAATGTGCGACCACACGTGGCACACATTGTCCAGAGGTTCTTCGTCAATTGCCAGATTGAATTGCTTCCCTGGCTGGCTTGCTCTCCGGTTCTTTCACTGATAGTAAACATGTGGTGCATGGTTACTGAACGATCAACCCAGATTACATCCCAAGCTGCCACACCAGATCAACTTTGGCAACGTGTGGAAGCTGCTTGGTCTGCTGTACCCCAAAAACACATCCAAAGTCTCTTTGAATCAATGCCGAGGCGTGTAACAGCGGTGATCTCCAACAATGGGTGGCTACTCTGGCTACTGATTTTGGAAGCACACGTCACAGAAGTATATAAATTTAATCATTTGATACTTGGTCAACATGTTATCTACTAAATAAATTTTGTTGTGATATCTCTTGTCTTTCTTGGTGTTGCAATTTGGGTGGCCAGCAATGTATTATTATTATTATTATTATCTAAATTTAAAGAGGCATGATGAAGTACAGTTTAGTAAAGAAAAAGAGTGAAGAGAAAGACATTAGGTAGCTAAAACTCTTAAACATGAGAGCAAGTGTGTCAGAGCATTAAGCTACATAATAATGTTTCTGACAAGTTATCAAAATAAAGATAGTCAATTTTGGTGAGGAATATGTTAACAAGTCATTTCTAGACCTTATGAGATGTATAAAGATTAAGAGCTGCAACCTTACTGTGAATTACTTCTTTCCTTGTTTGTATGATCAATAATTTGTCATTCCATTAAGTCCGAGATGTTACGTGAGGATGTATAGTTAATTTATATGCTTTGTTTAACAGAGGAATACTCTTAAGAGTCAGAAATACTCTTAAAAGGGTACAGAGTTTTTGGAATGACTGGTTCACTCTATATAAAGTAGCATGCAATAAAACAGAGAGATTAACAATCACACTGCTTTATTATATGTTATTTTGTAACTAGAGAGCTAGTTGCTAGTAATGTACACTCTGTCACCAAAAATATATAAAGTACAAAGTCCGAAATCCGGATGTCCATTATCTGGAATGATCTAAAAATCCGGACCTCAAAACCACCACCAGTGGTTTTTATTGTAGGCTTTACGCTTGTGCATTTGATCCCCCCCCCTCCACGCATAATAAAATATCTGGAGAGTCCAGATTCTTAATTTCATTTCGATACTAAATAAAATACCTTGTTATTGAAGAAATAATCATTTTAGCATAAATTACAATCTAGGTTTTGGTTTTTGGTTCTAGATCCAAAAAATACTGCTACCGATAGTGAAGAAAGTGACAGAGAAGTTACTGAAAATGAGAAAATTTCGATTGACAAGTTAGTCTGAATTCTCGAAACAGCAGTTACAAGACTTCAAGATTATGTCTGTCTACAGAATTAAAGAGAAAGTATTAGCACAAAAAATGAAGCAACTTGAAACAACTTACATTGAAAGAAATGCTTAATAAGGTAAACAAATAAATATTAAGCTTTTTTTTTTTTTGTAAATTTTGATACCCTTTAGATCATAAATACTTCATTATTTCATAAATCACGATGTCATATTTTTAGTTTTATAATTTCTACATGCCATCTTACTAGATTTAAGCTGATGATCTAATATCTGGAAAAATCCCAAATCTGGAATTGCCGAAGTCCCAATGAGTCCGGATTTCAGACTTAGTATTGTATGCACCCAGAAAGAAACGAACTACTATTACAAAACTTAACATGCATGTAGTGTTAATATGCATGAGGAGATAAACGAATAATTACAAATTCATACCAAAAAGTCATTTTATTAAGAAGTTATGGCATGAAAAATGTTACAAATTAGTAAGTAGTATAGCCACCTATGGCAGCTATACAAGTTGAAAGACGGCATAGCATCGAATGAAGTAAGTCATCTATGACCCCCAATGGAAGATTATGCCATAATATTTACAATTGGACAGTTAATTCGCCAACATTCTGGGATGGCTTCATTTGCCTTCCAAGCATGTTCCAAATGTGCTCGATTAGTGAGAAGTCTGGTGATCTGAAAGGCCAGGGGAGTATGTTATATCCTTGAAGACATTGTTGGGAGAGTCATGCAATATGTGGATGAGCATTGTCTTGCTGATAAATGGCACACACGCAATTTGAAAACATAGACAGTACAATCAGCATTAAAATGTTGTTCATCATAATGCCTTGAAGGATGACTAGAGGTGATTGTGTGCCCCAACAAATTGCTCCCCCACATTGTCACACCTTGTGTAATCACCGTATACAACTAACACAACAAATGCCAGATCACACCGCTGGCCTGGCTGCTTCCACATGCGTGTGCATTGGTCATTGACATTCACTGCTGAAGATATCACACCTCCAGTCGTCACACTCCAGCTTGCCCGCATTTGGTAAAAATCTAGTTGACACTGCCTATGATGTGGGGTCAGTGGTAAGCATCTTAATGAACATTTACAGCATAACCCAGCGTCGGCCAGTTGTCTCTCCAAATGATTTCTATTGATACCACTGGATGCATTGAATGTGGTTAATGGCATCAAATCGATGTTAGCCACGTTGTTGGTGTGGAAATGGTCACTCTTATGATTGTGAGATATTCATGCTCATTTGTGTTCCCAGGATGTCCTGACCCTTCACAAGGGTAGATTATACCTTCTGTGATCCATTGTCGACTACTATCACATTGAGCAACTACTATCAGTAGCGTAGCTACAGTTTTCAGCACCCGGGGAAAACTGAAGATTTTGCGCCCCTTTCTCTGTGCCAAGAACGGAAAACATTTCATTCTAAAATTTCATAACATCAATTTGGCACCCCCTGAATGCTGCGCCCGGGGACAGATGTCCCCCCTTGCCCCACCCTAGCTACGCCACTGACTACTATATCGCTTCCACCGAGGCAGCGTCCGATAGGCCTGTTCGACCAACTTGCTTCTCTGAGGCCTACTATACATCCCTTCTCAGTCTCACAATTGTTCATACTGCCCTTATTACAATTTAGAGGCCTCTCTAGTCACAGTACTGTCTATCCACTAACTAACAGATTCAATTCATGTCAAAATACTGCAGACAATTGTAGCTTATCTGGCTCGATGGAGATGGGAAAATACATCACAGGAAGCTGTCGAAACATGGAACTCCAAGGAGGGTCAGAGGAAGGCAGAGAGAACTGCCGCCAACATCACAGGCAAAGTACAAGTCCTAAAGAAGAATCGATAACATGTAGAAAGTCCATAACTTGGCGCCATCTTCTGGGGCCCAGATCAACTAAAAGGGAAAAATTTTAGTTAGTCATAAAACAAAGTCCTAGCAGAATTACCATTCCATCTTAATCCTTTCTTCCGCAATTTCCAGGAATTCCAATTAGTAGAATTTTTTCCTGGGGGGAGGAATTCAGCTTCTTACGTTTTTCCATAAATTTGATGAATTTGTAGAGCATCATTTTCATATTTTTACCCAAGTTAAAATCTGGTGCTTCTTCTTTAACGCGGCAGAGTTGCATTTCACTGGCGGTCTTCTGATATGGGAGGCTGGCTTCTCTGTTAAAGGCTTGCTGGTTGGCATATCGGAACTTTAAGGCCAATTGCTTGCTTCTTCGGAGCATTTCTATTGCGAATTTGGGAATGAGATTCCAAATCTTAGCTGAGGCTACATGATCTGACTTACAATGTATGCAAGTTGGCTTGTCTTCTCTCTAATATACAAGTATAGGTCAGATGATTCTACCCACACTTGATACATCGTGGCTGGTTATTGCAGAAATCTGCCCATGTCCAAAGCGCTGGCATCGGAAACACATCGTCTTATCTTTTTGTTGATTTATCTGTGTGCTGAAGCGAAACAAAAAATACAGGTGGCTTAACTTCAGTACCATCTGATTCCATAGTGAACTGTGATACTTTTGTCACTGGGATTACTTCCTTGCTCAATTCATCTTTGATCTCATCAGCCGACGATTCGTCCGTAAGTCCACGCACCACTACTT